TCCCACATCGGGCTCCCTGCTCGGCGGGGGATCTGCTTCTCCTTCTGACCCTCTTCCCTCTCGTGCTCTCTGTCTCTCATTCTCTCTCTCTCAAAAAATAAATAAAATCTTTAAAAAAAAAAGTATTTTAATGAAGTTTGGAGGGGAGATATAGATACATGTAGATAGGTAGGTATATACAGACAGGTATATATGGTCATTTATGTATGGCCATTTTTAAAAATTAATTAATTTGACAGAGATTGAGAGCACGCACAAGCAGGGTGAGCGGCAGGCAGAGGGAGAGGGAGAAGCAGGCTCCCCACTGAGCAGGGAGCCCAACTCGGGGCTTGATCCCAGGACCCTGGGCTGAAGGCAGCCGTTTAACCAACTTAGCCACTCAGATGCCCCATATGGATGGCCATTTTATATACATAAATATATATATTCTCTACCTTCTCTGGCAATTGGAATGTGGATGTTACTTGAAGAACAGACCATCTAGGTCTCAAGATTTGGCTATTAAAAAAGGATCAGATGAAAATACAATTAATGTAAGTACACTACGACATGCTGTGGGGTTGACCAAATAACAACACCCATAGTTATGATAATGACATTAAAGTGACAGTAATTTATAATTAATAAACAAGAAAAGGGGCATGTACAAACCAAATGCCATCCCAAGACAACAGAGATAACACAAGCAGCCTCTCTGAAAATTAGGGTACTTCTACCACCTGTGGGTACCTATTCAGAGCAGAAACATTGCAGCATTGGTAGGCAGCTGTGAAGGCAGAGTCTGGGGAGTAGTTTGGGGTCCAGCTTGAAGAAGGTCCCATTGCTTCTATGGTATTTGTCTCAGTAATGCATAATAACGTCAATCTAATTATGAGAAAACGTCAGATAAGTCCAAATTACCAGTCATTCTGCAAAAGATCCAACTGGTGTTCCTCAGGAGTGTCAAGGTGTCATAAAAGACAAGGGGAGGCTGAGGAACTGTCACAGAGAAGAGGAGACTGAGGAGCTATAACAGCTGAATGCAATATGACATTCTGGATTGGTCCTGAAATAGAAAAAGAACATTTGTAGAAGAACCAGAGAAATCCAAATAAAGTCTGCAATTTAGTTACTACTTGTTACTAGTAATGTAGCATTGTTAACTTACTGACTTTGATGATTGTACTGTGATTATCTTGAGATGTTGACATGAAAGGAACGATGGTGAAGTAGACCGGAAGTTTCCACTATTTTTTTTTAAGATTGTATTCATTTATTTGAGAGAGAGCATGAGCAGGGAGAGGGCCTGAGGGAGAGAGACAGAATCTCAAGCCTACTCTGTGCTGAGCATGGAGCCCAACATGGGGCTCGATCTCCCAACCCTGATACCACAACCTGAACTGAAATCAAGAGTTGGACACTTAACCAACTCAGCCATCCAGGCACCCTAGAAACTTTCCACTATTTTTGCCCCTTTTCTGTAAATCCAAAATTCTTTCACAATAGAAATTGAAAAAGTACTTTTATTTGGTAATGTGTGGACATTCTGCAATAGCTGAGCATTACAAAATCTTGACTTAGCCGACCTCTTCAGCACATATCCCCCTGCACATACTTCTGTTTTCTGGCTATATTAAATCATTTGTTGTTGTTAATTAGCTCCTTTGGGGAGATAGAGGAGAGTAATACAGTTTTTGTATGTATTACAAAATATTATAACCAGTGTAATAAATAGCTGTATACACCTCATTTTAGAACACTTCATTTTTAAAAAAATATTTTTATTTATTTATTTGAGAGAGAGAATGAGAGAGAGAGAGCATGAGAGGGGGGAGGGTCAGAGGGAGAAGCAGACTCCCTGCCGAGCAGGGAGCCTGATGTGGGACTCGATCCCGGGACTCCAGGATCATGACCTGAGCCGAAGGCAGTTGCTTAACCAACTGAGCCACCCAGGCGTCCCAGAACACTTCATTTTAAGAAATATAGCAAGGCAGTGAAGACCCACTGTGTTTCCTTTCTTTGTGTTATTCTGCCCCTTCATCTCCTACTGCCACCACCAAACTGCTACCACTTGGAGATAATCAGTGGAATTTGCTATTTAAGAATCCTATTTTGTTATTTTGCATTTTTCCAAACTTGACATAAATTACACTCTGTGATATCATATCTAGAACTTGCTGGTTTTTTTGCTTCACATGTATGTCTAATTCATTCTTTTTCATCACTACGTAGATTTCCACTGTATGAATACCCAGTATTTATTCAGTCTCCTGCTGGCAAGCATATTGAGAATGTTTTTTTATTTATGGTTGTTGATTTTTAAAAGTATTTTCTGAGACCAAAATTGAGACCAAAATTACTGTTTCTGAACTCCAGTAACACTATCCACATCTTTTAACTCAGTATTTGTGACCTTTCCATATGAGTATTTTTCTTTTCTCTTACATCAGATGGAAAGCTTCTTGACGATCTGTTTCCCCAAGGTGAACATTATTGGGATAATAAGTATCTAATTTTGTTGAATAAGTAAGTAAATACTTACGTGAATTAAACACTGTCTACATACAGATCTTGGGCATATTTGTGTTTATTCCCTTAGTTGTTACATGTTGTTGCCTCCTGGAGCTTTTTCTCTGTTAGAAAGATTTATACAATGTGGGAATCTGGCCACTGAGGTGGAAATATAGGGCATAAATAAAGCCTAAAACTTTAACTTGAGAAGTTAAAAGCTAAGATTGCGGACAACACAGGTACGTGGTTTTTTTGTGTGTATATGTGTTTAACATCCTAGGGAAACTTCGACAAAGTTAGTAATAATTTTACCTGCATTTGGTAACTTATTGTATGACAGAACTCTTTTGTGCATCATTCTTGTTAGAAAGCTTACTATTGGGGCACCTGGGTGGCTCAGTCGTTAAGCGTCTGCCTTTGGCTCAGGTCATGATCCCAGAGTCCTGGGATCAAGCCCCGCTCAGCCAGGAGCCTGCTTCTCCCTCTCCCGCTCCCCCTGCTTGTGTTCCCTCTCTAGCTGTCTCTCTCTCTCTGTCAAGTAGATAAATAAAATCTTAAAAAAAAAAAGTTTACTATTTGCCTTTGATCATTTTGAATTTGTACCCAGAATTAGTTTTGCTGAAATTAGTTTTTTCCTCCAAGACTGTTTTATTCTCAATATGCTTGCCAGCAGGAGAATAGATAAATACTGGGTATTCGTACATTGTTGCTCTTACTCTGCAAAAGCACTTAACAGGTTTCACAGCTCTGGTGCCCATCTTGTTGGATTTCTGTAGCCGCTTTGGCAGAGATAGGCAGGGCTAGTATCATCCATATTTTACAGGTTAGGAACAGTGGAAAGGAAGCTGAGGGAGTTTGAAGGACTTGCTCAGGGTCGCAGAACAGAACCAGAAAGCAGATCTTTCAACCTAGTCCTGGCTCTGTCTGGACATTAGTTTCAGTGCTTAAAATAATTGAAAGTATTAATCAAGATGTTATTGCTTCACGAGAATTTTAACAGGTAATTCAGTAACATAGTGCCCACTTGACAGTTTATCATAGTAGTATGGGGAGTTTCTCATCAGTGTTACTGGTAGATTAGTAACTGCCTTTTTACTGCCTCTTTGTTGGAAGGGTTCACAAAAAGCTTAAACCAAACATGGCAAAAGAGCATGTTGTGACTGGTGTGTATTTTAATGGAAAGAAAAATCTTACAAGTAAAACTGAAAGGAAGGTGTGACACAATCTCAAGTTAAAATATCTGAGAAGACAAATGGCCTTTTGGTAGCTTGAGACCTACAGATGAATTAAAAAAAACCTCTCGGCATATAGACTGAGGAAGTTGGTCACTCAAATTGTAATTTTAAAAAATGCAGAAGCAGTATACTTAGAATATTGTCTTCATGTCAAAAATGCACCTTCGTGCTTGAAAATGATAAAAAATTACAATCGATCCTTACAACTGTTCTGTTCATCTTTATTGATCAGGTGCAAGAAAGATAAATCACAGCCCAAATAAGATTATAGTAAATGTTAGCATCATAGGGGACTCTAGGTTGATAGAGAGCCATTCATCATCTCAAATGGTGACCTGTCCACTGCTCCAGCCACCCTGAGTCTGCTGTCTAATCACATACCTATTGATTTTATCTACATCCAACAAACCTGGATGTGACTGTCATTGGGCAACCCAGATTGTTAAATGCAAAGGGGTCACTGATGTGAAGAGGATTTCATTTTCATTTTCTCCTCAACCAACAATGATTTATTAAAAAATAAACTACCCCAAGTCATGCTTGTGAAACCTGAGTGATTAGGGATTGAAGGTGCACAATAGACCACTGTATTGTGTAGTGTTCTTTTGTACTGGGACACATTTTGCAGGATATTTCATTGAGTCTAAAGGTTCCTGGGGTCATTTAGGCTACCCCCTGCAGTAAGACAGGTTTCAAAGTAGCCAGCCAGAATAGACAGTTTTAAATTTTTCTGCCTCAGGAAAGGCATTACCTTCCTATTACAACTTGATTTATGTTCATTTATGTAATAGTGGAAACATTTTTTTTTTTTTGGTGTAAAAATTACCTAAATCCGTCCTCTGTTCTTACTGATTAATTTGTTATAAATGTTGATGCTCTTGCGGTCATATGGAGGTGATAGAACACATTCTACTCCATAAAGAATCCATCTCAAGGACAAAAATACCGTGTTAAAAAAAAATGAACCTTGAATATCCTAGGTAGAACATTGGAATAGTAGGCAAAATATGTTAAGAATCTTCTCATGGGATCAAATAATGATGCATTTTAACCATGAAAGTTTATTTTAATTATAACTTGTATGCCAGCAGACATACTGTTATTTAAATGGACACCTTTACATGCATTTTTAGAAGTTGCTATGCTACTTTTGGAAGAAATCTTTGTCCTTTTGCTTGAATGGCTGAACAAAGATTTTATGTATTTTTTGTCATTGTAAGCGCTGCACACATTTTGTCCTCTTGGACAGTGAAAACTCTACTATCAATCTTTGTCCACAGAGCTCAGAATTCTACAAAGTCACCACTGAACAATATCAGAAAGCTGCTGAAGAGGTGGAAGCAAAGTTCAAGTAAGTTTTTAACACTATATTATAATTATTTACTGTTCTTGACAAGATGCAAGTATAACTTTATTGCTTTTTGCACAAAAGATAGTTTGTTGTGTAGCCCTCTGGAATTCTTGGAAGTGTGTTTGGGCAGTTGAGGCGTATCCACGTTATCTGCCATTAGTGGAATTCAAACACAAGGAAAGAACCTTTGATGAAAGCTTGTTTGCAACTCAATTTTATGAAGTTAAGGGAAAATTGAAAGCAGTGGTAATAGAATTTTCATTTGGAATCATACTACATAAGATAGGATGCCCTTGATTATGAAGGTGATATGAAATTGCTGTTAATAACAGAAACATAGAGACCATTCCCTTTTATGTAATAAAATGACGGGCATGTCCAAATTTGAGTATCCACTCTTCTCCTGTTTAAGCTGTTTTCATTTCTTCACATGTACCTTGAAAGCATTTAAATCACAGACTTTACCTTGCCCTTGATTATGAAGGTGATGTTGAATCGCTGCCTCTGTTAATCCTTGGAATGTTTAAATGAATGTTCTGTAGTTGATGGATCAACGTGTCCATGACCCATAGCCCTGTACTTTCCCTTTGCTGCCAGTTCTCAGGCTAAGTAAGAAGACGTCATTCAGAATTTTCCTGAGAGTATAAATAGCTCTAATGTGTAACCCCTGTTATAGCACATGTGCAAATTAGTGAAGCAAAAAAAGGTGCTGTGACAGGTTTTGTTGAAAGATTGCACTGGGCTCTGACCTCCTTCTTGGTGCATGTTTATAAGCATTTGATAAAATGATTAAACCTAAGGTATAATGTTACTACTTTTTGCTGTGGTACAATTTGTGTGGTAATGGATATTAGTGTTCTTTTAATGTTGATGTTTTAAAAAGATGATTTTTTTTTTTTTAATTTAAAGATGGTTTGAGGTATATTTAAACAGACCTCCAGTCTTTGTTAGTGAATTCTCTTTTTAGGGGCAGCAGGGAAAGACCTTCTGAGAATGGGCCACAGATCTCACTCTTAAAGGTTGACATGCTATCTTAAGTATTTAGATATAAAATTGGATATGGACTTGATTTTTTTTTTTTTAAAGATTTTTATTTATTTATTTATTTATTTATTTATTTGAGAGAGAGAAACAGCATGAGAGGGGAGAGGGTCTGAGGGAGAAGCAGGCTCCCCGCTGAGCTGGGAGCCCGATGTGGGACTCGATCCCAGGACTCCGGGATCATGACCTGAGCCGAAGGCAGTCGCTTAACCAACTGAGCCACCCAGGCGCCCCTGGACTTGATTTTAAAAGGTGCTCTACATACATAATTTTTAAGTTATATGTTTATCTTTCTCCCTAATGATAAAGTAACATTCGTTAACTTTTTTGTCTTTGTACCATGAGAATTTTTGACTAGGTACCCTGGGTATTTCTTCATGGTAAGAGGACAGCTATTCAAATAACTAAATTTTAAGGTAAATCAAAGGAGGTCAGTTCTGACTAGAATGATCTGTGAAGTTCTCCTAAAGAAGATACTAATTTAGTTGTGGCTAGGAGAGGAGTACTGAGTAGATGGAAAGGAAAAGTATTCAGAAGGAAAATCATGCTCTCTAGTTGGTGGGTGAGAAATTAGTTCAGATCAGTGGTTTGACTCAGAGGGATTCTAGTGCAAGACAAAGTTGGAAAGGTCAGTAGGGGTCATCGTTAACTATTGGGCTAAAAAGTTGGTCTTCATTTAGCAAGAAGTTTTTGGAAGGTCTTTGACCAGGTAAATGCCCTGATTTCTGTGCTGCTTGAGTAATAGTAGTCTCTAACAGTGGATGTGAGGCATTTGATTTGGAGGCATGAGGAACAGTTAGCCTGTAAGCGACAGAGAAAAGAAAGAGATGGGTGCAAACAAGTCATTGGAAGATTAGGTAGGAATTAGCGAATGACTGGTGTGTTCGTTGGCTAGGGCTGCCTAACAAAGTCCTGCAGACCGAGTGGTCTAACAGAGATTGATTTTCTCGCAGTTCTGGAGGCTGGCCATCTGCGATCAGGGCACCAGCAGGGTTGGCTTCCCCTGAGGCCACTCTGCTTGGCTTGCAGGAGGCCGTCTTCTCCCTGTGTCTTCACAATGTCTGCCTCTCTGCATCTGCGTCTTAATCTCCTTTTCTTAGGAATCCCATTGGATTAGGGCTCACCCTGATGACTTCATTTTAATTTAATTATCTCTTTGAGAGCCCTTTGTCCAAATACACTTTCTGATACCGGTCATTAGGTCTTCAACATATGAATTTGGGAGAGGGGGAGCCCAATTCAGCCCATAACACCTGGATAGAAGGGCCGGGGAGAAACAGAAATAGAGGGTTAGCAGATTGGAAAATTGGTGGAAGCTGGATTTTTACAGTTAAGTCTGGTTTGAGATGAAAAGAATCACTCTTCTGAAAGCCGTGCACCTGCCATGTCATTCAACCTGGGCTAGCGTGCTGGCAAATGAGAGGGTACATGGAACTCAAAACTAAAGGTCCTGCTGACTTACTTTCTCCAAGACAACATGGCTCGGTAGGTTAGACTTCGTTTTAATCAGAGCCTCAGCAGCTTCATTCTCTCTTACCTTTAGAAGATATTATTCTTTATTAATTCTGCTCTCACCTGGTGTAGTAGAGAATTTGGCCTTTCCCAAAGAGAGGTCTAGTCTTTATACTCATCTTCTGGGAGAGGTAACCTCTCACCCCTTGGAATTTCCTGAGTGATGAAAGTGTCTCATTAGTCATGATGGGCCCTTTGGGCCATGTGGTATCAGCCCAGCCTCCAGGGAAGTGGTACTGGAGACTGAATTCAGCCACATGGGCAGCTTGTCAAACAAACCCATATACCAGTGAAACCCTGGACACTGGAATTTGGGTAGGCTTCCTCAGTTGATAATACTCTGTGCGTATTATCACAGGTTGCTGCCAGGAGAGTAGAACATCTTGAGGACAGTGGAAACTTTGCATCTGGAACTCTCCCAGACTCAGTCCTATATATCTCTTCATTTGTCTGGTTCTCCGTATTATTTCCCATAATAAGCCATAACTGTGAGTTTAATGGCTTTCTGTGAGTTCTGTGAGTCCTTTTGGTGAATTATTAAAGGTTAGAGTGGTTTTGGGAACCCTTTAACCTGGCAGATGATGTCAGGGTGAGGACAGTCTTGGGGACTCTGCCCTCAGAATTTGCAGTTTGACTAAGTGTAGTACAAACAAAACTCCAGGTTTTTACATACTATGAGGGAGTTTTAAGAGCTAGCTTTTCAAGAGAGTGGCTTTCATTATATTATTATTTTTTTCAGTACTATCTGCTAGACTGAGCTTCCTAGAATATTGTATTTTTGATTTGTAGTGAGGTTCTTAGCTTCACACCTAGGGAGTAATAGTGCCTTGGCTCTAAGAGATACTTACCATCTTTTTTTTTTAAAGATTTTATTTATTTATTTGAGAGAGAGAGAGTGAGAGAGAGCATGAGAGGGGAGAGGGTCAGAGGGAGAAGCAGACTCCCCACTGAGCGGGGAGCCCGATGTGGGACTCGATCCCGGGACTCCAGGATCACGACCTGAGCCGAAGGCAGTTGCTTAACCAACTGAGCCACCCAGGCGCCCCAGATACTTACCATCTTTGAAGGCCCTGAAATTACTCAGTGGAACTTTGTTTCTCCTTACAGATTTGGCCATCCCAGGTAATCATGGCAGCTTTAATCTTTTGCAAGGCAGTATACTATATCCTTTTCCTTTCATGACAGAGCTGATCTCAGCAGTCCCCCTTAGACAACAGGCTCAGAAGGACTTTGAGGAGGATTTAATTAATTTTATCTGATGGAAGATTTCATTTGGATGCATCTTGGTTACAGGAGATGGAAGCTTTTTATTTTTTTATTTTTTTTTAAGATTTTATTTATTTATTTGACAGAGAGAGCGAGAGAGCACAAGCAGGGAGAACAGTAGAGGGAGAGGGAGAAGCAGGCTCCCCGCCAAGCAGGGAGCCCGATGTGGGGCTCGATCCTAGGACCCTGAGATCATGACCTGAGCCGAAGGCAGACACCCGAAGATGGAAGCTTTTTAAATTGCAGTTTCAAGGGCAATATTATACACCTTATGGGGGTCACACAAAATGATTGTAAAGAGAAAGAAAGCTAAGAGCACTTGAAGCCACACATGATAAACACCAGTCACATCGATGCATCTTGCCAGGATAGCTAATGGAATTATTTTAGGGATGCTTAAATATTAACTCACACTTTAGGCCTTCAGTTTATAGTTTTGGCAGGAAACCATTAAAACACTTTAGATTTAATGGCATTTTTCCCCCTATTTAATCAACACATCATTCATTCAGAGAGCTCCTCTGTGACATGCCCTCTGAGTTCTGAATATACAGCTATGAGGAAACAGGTAGGATCTTACCAGTATGGAACTCGGGAGTCGATCAGAGAGCAGGAGGAAGACAGAATTTTAAAATAAAGAGCTTTTGAAAAATCCCAAGGTAGTTCTATTATCATGGGATAATTGTGTCCCTAATAAGTTATTAAAAATATTATTTATGTTTTTTTCAGTAGGAATTAAACAGTTTGGAAATTAAGAATGTATGCTGCTTATTTTCCTGCAAGAACTTTTACCCCACAATAGCTTTAACGTTTTAGCTGTAAAACCCAAATCCCTTAGCAGATCCAGCAATTTTTTACATCTAGCTTTTATTCAAAAGATAACCTTAACTTTTCCCAGTCCAACTAGAAACAATCACTGTTAGCAGTTCCAATTGCTTTCATCACTCTGGTGTTATCTGTTAAATAGAGCAATTTATGGTGCTGGTTCTTAGTTTCAAGATGCTGGTACCATGTCATGTAGAGAAGTATTCCCTGTGTTAACCCTTATTCTTCACCTGATAGGTAATTAATTAAACAAAATACTATATTAAATGTTGCATTGATGGTACTTAGCACAGGTCTAGCACAAGATAAATGCTCTGAATATTTGATTTTATTGTTATATATATTGTGATGATATT